AGCCGAGAAACCTTTTATGAAACAGACATGCTTCCTCCCAGACAGCTCCCTTTTGCAAAGTGCTAATCTTTGAACTTTTTAAAAGAGGCAAAATTGAAGTCCAAGGAAAATGATGGGCACAATAAAATGACTGGGGGTGCACACTTACAATCTTCCTCCTAAAACGGGGTGCAAAAGGCCAGGCCGTGCCCCGACAAAATCGGCGCGCTCTCAGGACTGGTAAAGTGCCTGATGGGCTGACTGACTGTCAGACATTCCATCTGGTCCCTGTCAGTACTCAATCCGCCAGCAGACCACTTTGCTTCCATAAAAGAAAAGCCCCTCACAGAAGCCTGAAGCAGTCCTAAAGAACTGCTTAAAACCAAAACTTGGCTGCTTAAAATAAATTGTCGCACCCTCTCCCCCCCCCTCAACCCCTGCTCCAGGCTGTTGGACTTGGTGCCCGGTTTATCAAGTTGGGGGGTCTTTCTCGGGGTGAACGGATGACCAAATACAACCGCCTTCTTGCTATAGAGGAAGAGCTCATCCAGAGTGGAGCCTGGGGTATGTGCTGCTTTTCTGCTCTGTTTCCCCTTAGCTGTGAATAAGGGAACAAAGATTGGAAGGGAGGGAATAGAAGTCCCTCGGCAGGAGGGCGGGACAATCCAAAGACTATAAATCAACGCTGACAAGAGCAGGACAGCACTCGCCACAATGACCATTGTTGGCTTAATGGATTATCTATTTTACCTGAATGGTTAAGACTCTCGCCACCCTTCTCCTGGCTGAATAGGCTGCTTGGTGGTGTTCAGTAGGATTAATTGATTGGAATCTCCAAGCCTGCCTTTTGTTATGGCCCAAATTATACTTAAGGTTTCTCTGTACAGCTCTTGAAAGTTAAAGGCAGATGTGTTCCTTCTTGAAACAACTTGTTTTACTTCAAATAAGTAGGCGGCATGTTGATTCTAACATAGTCTCACAAAGAGCTAAGGTCCCTCAAGAAAGAACTGATGGTTTATGAGACCCAAACTTTGTATATCTGCATGGGGAGCTTGTGTCCCCATTGGAGAAAAGCTTACTAAATACTCATCCTTTTTTTTTTAATACTACCCATTGGCCCAAAGGTGGCCATAACAAGCAGAGAGATAAAGAGACTGATAAAATTAGGATTTAAGAAAGTGTCATAGGGCTACATAGAGAAACCCTATCTTAAAAAACAACAACAACAACAAAAACCGGGGATCTTCAAACACACCCTAAGATTCAGGAGGAATAAAGGTTTCTGGGTTGTATAAAGGCAGTCCAAAGTTAGGCCATGTTGTTTACTGTGGGATACGATGGCTTATCCATCCCCAGCACTTCCATAGGTGACTTTATATTGCTCCAAATATCATCTCATCTTTTGTCCTGCTGACTTGTGAAGCCCTCAAAGACCTTTCCTATCTTCCAGTTCCTAAGAAACTCAGCTGCTCTGGAACATCAAAAAGAACCTGAGAGACTAGAGACCCACCCCCTTTCTAGGTGCTAGCCACCCTGGTATCCTGGAATGGATTAAGTGACTAGTGGGAATTTCTCTAAAGCTGTTAGATAAACTCCAAGAATGCCCCAAATTAGCAAAACAAATAGCTCCACTCCCACTTTTGAGGAGATGATCTTGACAAAACGTCAGCCACTTAAATATGGTCCTTATTTTACTTGGTTCTTCCTGGGATGGTCCCCATCTGCTGTAGTTTCCCTTAGAGTGGGTAGTTTGATTTCGTGTGCAGGGCTGGCCTTTGCTAGTGTGCAGCTGATGCCTCCAGATGTCACAACAGACCGATTGTCAGCCTGTCCTGAGAGCTCTCAATCCTTTCTGCACGGGCCTGATATCTTCAGATCCTGTGACACATAACGTCAGAATCAGCACCACTGGGCCAGTACCGTAAACTTTATTTATTTATTTTTTAAAATAGGTTTCAGCGAAGAACACAATTTTTCTTTCTTTCAAGAAGATGCTACTGCCACAATGGCTGAGGAAACTCTTGGGCCCCTGGACTCCATCTTCCCCACAGAGGTTGTAGAGGAATCAGCTAAAACATGAGCCCCATGGGCCTGGACTCCCAGGGGACAGTTACTCTACAAGTGTGGGCTAGCTCGTGTGAAGTATCTCCATGGTGGTTCTGCTCTTAACTCCACTTATATATGCAAATGAGTATAATTACCAACTTGTGCACGTTATTTATTTATTCGGTTTCACTGTTAGGTAAAATATATATGTGGTGGTTTTGCCTGCAGTTCGTGAGCTTTGGTTCACAGCCATATTGCCACGGGGACACTAACTGTACCCTCTCCTTCTGAAGGTCACCACCTAACTTCATTAGAGACTAATGTATTTTGATATCAGGTCCACGCCCAGTGCCTTACCCCCTCACAAATCAGAACACCTCTAGAACCAAAAGACTGTTTCCCTGAGTCTCCCAGCACCACAGGCATCAACTGATTTTGTTTCTCTTGGACCTCTGTGCTAACCACAGATGGTTTGCCTAGCCACCCACATGCACCAGGCATCGAGGACTGCCTTGTCTGCAGTGATACTTCCATCTTAGCTTCGGACATTTGATTACCTATGTCCGTATCAATAATTCCATCTCAGCTTCCAACACTTGACTGCCTTTCCCCATTCCTGACATGTCATCCTTATATTATTTTTTTCTTAGATCCCTTTTGGAACGAGAGTGGTACTAGCTTAATAAAAACACCTGTAAATGAATGTTCTCACCACCATTTAGTGCCCTCTTACTTATATACCACAGCACCAAGAAACAAGCAGTGAGTGGTTAGCCCTGAGGACAAATCCGTGTTGACAGATGCTTCTCCTCTGTGAGCCAGTACTGGGCTTTTAGCAGGGAGTTACGTTAAACATTCAAACAGAGAACAGTGAAGTAAGTCCTTTACTTTATCCTGATGTTTGTTATATGAGCTGTAACAAGGGCTATCTGTAACTAAAGACTGGGTAAGTTGCACTGGCCTGGCCTGCAGCAGAATTTTTTTCAGTTGGGGCTCAGTCTGTTTGAAGAGAACGGCAAAGAGAGAGAACTTCACTCCTGCACAGGAGAGCCAGCCTCCCGCCCCCCCCCCCCAGAGCTGTGATCTGAGATTGGCTCAGTAGCAGACTTGGAGCATGGCATGGGGAACTGGCTGGTCAGTGTCACTACGAGCTTGGGAAAGTGTGTCACAATCTGTGATGGCCACTGTCTTTCCAGACGCTTAATGACAAACAGTGGGGCAGAGGAAATAGAAAGGAAAATCCATTTTAAAGGCAGGACAGATAAGACAAGATGTTCACCTGGCCTTCGAGGTGTTTCTCACTCAAGTGCTACAAATATGCCTTGGGACGGATATAACTCTAACCAATGAAACCACAGCAAAATAACCGACCAGGTCAGCAACCTACTGCCAGCCCAGAATGCACTCTGGTCACGGTAGCTCACCTGAGGACTGTGCTCACCAATGGGTAGGGACTTTTCTCAGAGGGCTTTCTTTATCATTTATGCATTCTTATAATCATGAATTCTCTCCCTCCCTCCCTCTCCCCACCTTCCCTTGCTCAAAAAATACATAATATTATCTACGAGGAGATGAGAAATGGGACTGGAGAATGTGAGATGGACGTGAAGCTATCCCAGGTCTCGAGTACTGATGACAAGTGGGTTACTCACCCTCCACAATCACTGGAGTTGCTTGCTGGTGCATGGGAGGCCTTTGCAGAAGCTCTCCCAGACGAGTTTAGGACTGTGGTACATGCTATAACTTACCCAACAACCCACACTGGTCTAGAAATCATGCTTACCTCCCCACGTGCAGCAACCCTTTCACTGCTCATGAAGTAAGGAAGGAGTTACTTGACCAAGCCGTAACGCTACCACTTAACTCAGAGCAACCCAGTCTGTTGGGTGCTGGCAGCCCAGGCGATTCCTGTCAGCAGACGTCCCAGAGCTGGAAAATTTCTAACAACTATGATGGGAGCTTGTATAGGACTCTTCAGACATAAAGGCTGTGAGCGTGTTAGTGAAGAGAGAAGAGACACCCTCTTTTAGTAAATAGTACAAAGGGTCTGTATGCTTCTGCTCACTGTGGCTATACAAGTATCAGAACTAGTCAAGAGAGCTAAAGCAGAGAGACCTAATCCATATTTTCAAAACAATTAATGTCCTGCTAAAGAAAAGAAAACATGTAGCCCCTCTCAACTTTACAATGGCACACGAATCAGGTACACAGGAGAGGCCTTCTGTTCACACAGCCAAGAGCTTACCTTGGAGTTAACAAGTCACCCCAGAGAAGGGCAAAACCTTAAAGCTGAGGTGAAAAATAGAAAAACTGTAGGAAAAAGGCGAGCAAAAGTCTATATCAAATACTTACATATCACAGTCCTTTGTGGTCACAGGAAAGGAAAGTGCATTTCCCAATGTATGAAAGGCAAAGATGCTTTCAAAATACCAGGTACAGAGAGATACCTGGTCCAGCCAGCACATCTCACCCAATGGTTAACTTCTGCTGGCAGTAAGGCTGCTTTGAAACCACGTTACTACATCCTTACATGTGATGCCATAACATGGGATGGTGGTACGCCTGTTTTCACTGTCCTGGAAGTGTATGTGACACACCAGTGACCTGGTGACAGACTGAAGAAGCATGGAAGACAGCTGCTCAGTGATGTCACTCACACTGCACCTCCACTGGAAGAGGCAAGGCTGGCTCAGTGTGCGGCTGGGGAGGTAGCTGAGGGGTAAAAGGCTCAACAGAATCCCACCCACATCATGGGAAACAAGAAAACAAAGAAACAATGTGTCCCTCTAGGCTGGAGAACTTCAACATGTCAATAACCACAGCCAACCCTTAATAAGAAAATGTCCTGTGTCTCTTTTAATGTGTTGGTTTGAGGAGAGTTCAAATCACAGCATAACAGAACCCATCTAAACGAATTAACCCGCCAGAAGTTAGCATATCGTCTAGTAGTCTTATTCAGTCAGGGAAGCACACAATTGAAAAAAAAAATCATGTTTTAATTCCCCATGAGTAAACCGACAGGGATATAAAACCATCACTGACAGACAGGGGAAATAGTCAAGCCCAGTGAACCTACAGAAAGAGAATTGTCCCCAAGCCGAGGAAGTGTCCTCACCTGCCTTCCCACCTCCCCAAGCCCACACTAGTAGCACACGTGCAAAAATACAATAGGATACAACTACTGCAATTGTTACTATCATTTTCTTTTGCCCTCAGGTGCAGAGCACCTGACAGCTACATGCCGAGTCATGCTAACAAAACTAAGCCTTTCGATTTCCTTAATAGTAAAATTACCATTACTGAATCATTATCATAAAAAGTGCACTCAAATACATTACCACTTATTTTAAATAAACACCAATTTTGAAACAATCAGCTTTGAAAACCTGCATAAGTTTTTTTTTTTAAATCCCTGATTACATTTCTATTTATTCGCCCTGGTAGTCTGAAACATTGTATTCTTAGAAACTACCACTTAATTTCCTCTGAAAAAAAACCAAAACAAAACAAGACCCATGTAGTATAGATCCGCAGTGAAGGAAGAAAAACAATATGTGCTTGTCACTTATCTTCACTGTGCATGAGAGCTGGCGTAAACTATGGTACTTGTGCCATGTGAATGTGTGGGAAAACACAGTTAACTCGTGGAACAGAGCACATAGCTTACCGAGGCATCCCTGTTAAATTCAAGGTTTGAGCGTACATCTAAGCCAGTTTTCTGTTGTTGAGGCCGCCAGGACATCACCCCTGAAGGACTCTGTAAGCCTTGAACACAGGGTCATATTTTCCACACAATAGTCAACTGTGCTCAACTCAGACCTAAGAGACCATGATGCCACCTCCTGAGCTCAGAGATGGATGGTCTCATGCACCCTACAAAATGGAGACACTACAGGGACCTACTGACGTCCAGACTGCTGCAGTTTCCCATCAGAAGACCAGACCCCAAACAGAAACTCTCCCAGGCCTTCTTTTCTTTATATAGAATCTTGCTATGTGACCCAAACTGTGAAGGTCAGATTCAAATGATCCTTTTGCCTTAGTCTCTTCAGGTGCTAGGGCTTGAATTAAAGGGTGCCTTTAAGATAATTGTTAAGTTTGGTGGTCTCTGTTTATCTAGTTACCAGCAACCACCTTGAATTTTCCCATGAATAATTTGATGAGTGGTACACACATTCCCTGTAAAGACACCAACATCCGAGCTCTGCCACCGTCTCAGGGAAGTCATACTTCATATAGAAACCAGAAAGAACCCTCACCCCTGTAAAGATTAAAAACTACCCAGAAGATGCATTTTTGCTAAACAGCTTACTTAGGTTTATAATTGCTACTTACAAAGTGATACCAGCAAAGAAGTGTGTGGCCAGAACAAAGAAATGTCCAACAGTTCCTGACAGTACACGCAGATGAACCACGTGCTCACTGAGAAGGCTCCGCAAAAACACCAGCCTCTGGTTACAGATCAGCAGTTGGAACTGTCTGTCTCTCCCGTTTTTCCATTGCTGTCTTCTTTGTGTTCTGGTTGTGTTTCTCCTCCCTCCTCCTTGCATTGAGTTGGGTCTTTTTCAGCAGCCTGGTCTTTGGTTTGGGGTTCGTGTGTGGAAACAGGATCTAAAACTACAACTGGCTCAGCTTGGTTTTCACTGCCCACACGTTTTCTCCTGTATTCACCATTACTGGGAGGCCTGTGAGAAGATAAATAGAGGAAAAAAACAACTAAGCAGAAGAAAGAAACTTTCAGGTTCTCGGATTCGGAAAAATAACAACAGAAACGGTTCTAAGTCTAACTGACATGCAAAATGCATAGTCTTTGGGATGTCAGCCATTTAAAAAAAAAAAAAGAGAAAGCAGCAGCAGATATCCGATTACGTAATAGGAACAGGAGGCCAGGAGAGAGAAGGCAGACAGAGTCAAAGCAATTAACTGCGGAAGTAAACACCAACTGTACCTACCTGCTTAATTGCTTGCTCCTCTAGGAAGTGCACAGCCCCCGGCTCCACTCTGCAATCCCAAACACTGCCCACGCTGCCTTTGTCCCACTAGCCTCCATCAGCTACAAGGAGCCGGCCCAGGCCCCCACTCCCTCTTGCCCCCAGTACAGCTGTTTGCAGCTTAGCTGTGAAGAGGCTGCGTGGAGAGGATTGGGGATCATCCTGGCTCGGTGATGGACAGATGAGAGTGGCAACCAGCTGTGCCCACCACAGCCATTACCACCCAGGAGGGAGACCTGACCTCAGGAGGTAGGCAGAGAAAAGGGCTGAGGAGAGCACTCGGGGAATGGGATCCCACACCAAGTGTCTAGAAACTTCCCTAACCAGGAGAACGTGGTTCTTGAGAAGTTTCTTTTTGAATTTTGTAAGTGGTTTTCTTTCCCTCAGAAGTTGCCTCCCTTCCGAGGCAGGAAGCTATTGTTTTTCACGCCAGGCAGGCAACAAAGTTTCCTTGTGGGAACAGAGGTGTTCTTCAAACATACTCTCTTGCCATGTGTAGGGCTGTGGGCACTGAGTCCTCTCAGAAGTAATGGTCAGCACCCACCCTGGGAAGGTTTCAGCTGCTGGGCTTACCTAGAGGGAATGCAGCAGCTACGGTGGGCAGGGCCAAGGGTCTCAAGACTATTCTGGTCTTCTCAGCCAATGGCCAATTCCAGGATGAAACATTCACCCCAGAGAACCAACTATTAACCGTGAACCAGGACATGGCAGGTCCACCTGATATGTGATGGAAAGCTACTGCTTAGCGCCTGCTCACTGATCTACCTTCCCCAGCCTTTGCCAGGTACTGATTTCCAATGGCCTGGCCTTCTTGAGCAGGTCAGATCATCTGATCGTTCCTCTTACATGCAGTGTTTCTCCTTTTCTGAACTCAGCACAGTTAATTAGATGTTTGTCTGTCTCTCTGATAACATATGGATGGAACAGGGACTGTTGAGTTTTGTCTGAGACTCCACCCCTAGCACCCACGGAGATCATGTATAAAGTAAACAAATGAACAAATACATAGCAGACTAGAGAAGACCCAGAGTAAGAATAGAGTTTGAGGTCTCATCTATACGTGGAAACAGAACAAGCCATCTATTACGGTAGGTGGACTGCATGACCTGCTCACAAGGCACAAAAGCCTGAACCAGAAAACCTCAGTCATAAATACAAGCTCTAATCAAATGCCTACAAAGACATTCTCTGTCTGGCAGGTCATTTTAAAGACAGGAGGGAGCGGCAGAAGGAAGGAGATCCTTAGGAATGGACATGACAGCGACCATGATGTCGCTGTCCATCTGTCTTAGCCAATGAAACATTTCTCAAAACACCCGCTACTCTGTCGTAGAGGTGGGTTGGGGTGTCATTTCCTTTGTGGTACCTGTTTCCACTTTCTCTGGTCCAGGCAACATCTTACAGCTTATCAGAAAAGCAGAGCCACCTAAAGAGCTGTAAACAGGAATTAGACTCTGGACAACAGAGCATACTGTGTGAGTCGGCCATCTCTATGCATGAAGCTAGATGTTCTGGCAGCTGAAAGGCAAGCTGGCTGTAAACTGGCAGAGACTGAGGACAAACTAGAGATTCATCTTTCTGTGACAAAGGCCCATCAGGCTGATGCACCCTCCCCACAGGATAAGCTAGGCCCTATCACAGGGAACCTGCACATGCATCTGAGCTGGGAAGCGGGTAAGCTGGAGGAAAAGCTGAGAGGAACTGCAGAACTGATCCACAGGCCAGTCACTGCTACATGCCTGTTAAGTGAGTCAGCACATTACGCCCTTCATACGCTATCCCAGATAAGTTACACATGAACCTCCTCAGGGTTCAAAGAAAACGCTAAAATAAAATTAAAATAAATAAATTAAAATATTATCTCATGTCTGCCTCATACATTTTTCTCATGGCCAATGAGAACCTGGAAACAAGCATATGGGAAGTCCCAGGAGGTGAAGCTGCAGTTTAGCTCAGGCTACAGTGAAAGCCACATGGAAAAAGTCTGCAGGTCAGCTCCAGTTAGCTTCACCAGCTTGCTTGTGAGCCCCACTGCTGTCGCCAGTCAGCATGTCAGAAGCATGCAAAGCGGTGAATCTCACTCTACCGTCTGGAGTGAGCAACTGCCATCGGTCCATACCAACCTCTGTTGCTCCCGTGGACTACCGTGGGTGTTTTCGTGGCCCCGTGTATCTGCAGGCGAAGGGTGGTTAACATCTAGCAAAAGCTGTCTTCGTCAGCAGGGAATTAGAGCCCTCCAGGAACTGCTCTCAGCATCCTGTGGCAGCAACACACAGGCTGATCCATCTGAAAACTTAAAAACCTTGGACTGTCTATCTGTCCTCAAGCAAGCCACTCATCTGCAGACTAACCTGAGAACTTGCTGGCAGGCTAACTTGAGAATCTCAGTTGCCTCCACTGAACTAGGCACAGTAGAGACCAGGCAGGAACCCCTTGGAACCCCAGGGCAAGACAGAAAGGAGTAAGAGTGACCATCTAACCAAACTGCTCTTTTGTAGATGGGGACAGTTCTATGTGCAGAGGGGAACAGCCTGGCCTAAGAGCATGCTGCCCCTGAGTGGCAGAGCCAGTGCAGGAGTCTGAGCTGCCTCTTCTTTAGATTGAGCTATTTTCCAAATACCCTCATGCTACAGGGTAATTTGTGGACATTTTTACTAGTTTATTACCATTGTTTCCATCTGCAACTTTCAGATCAACTATCTGTCTTTCAGAGGACAATGCTCAATGCTCAGGCTTCCTCCTTTGATATCACTAGGTCCTTTCCTGGTTCCCTAAGGAGATTCACGAAGCTCCCTTTAGAACCAGAAGCCTTCTTCCTGGGCTACATTCCATCTCTATCTCCATAATGTCATTGATGGTAAACTTGACAAGAGACAAGTATGCCTGCAGAACAATTATTAAGACTAAGTTAATTAATGTGGGAAGACCCACCTTGGATGTGGGATACACCATTCCCTAGGCTTGTATCCTGGACTGAATAGTGGAAAGAGCTAACTTGTAACATTCATTGTCCTCTGATTACTCACTATAGATACAATGTGCACAGCTGCCTTGACAAGGTCTTCCCTGCCACTATGGACTAATACACCATCACACTGTCAGCCCAAAATAGCCTTTTCCCCCTTAAGACACCTTTGTCAGAGTGTTTTTGTCATAGCAACAGAAAAGGCAACTAATACATTCCCAATCCCATGTCCTTCGGGGAAAGTACAGCCCTAGGCTGCTGTTCAAGGAAGCCATGTGGGTCTAGAGGTTTGAACCCAACAAAAACTCAAGCAGTAGTACCACTGGGGCCTGGTCCACGGTGGCTCTGTCCACCTCCTCCTTCAATGCAGCATCTAAGGACAGTGACTGCAAGTAAGCAATTAAAGTTCATACTCATAAGAGCCATGGCAGCCTTTCTCCTGATACAGCAGAATCTATAAAGCAGAACTGCTGAGTCACAGAGAGAGAGGAAGACTATGTGAATCAGTCGGTCCCTCCCTGTCAGGTGTGGACTCCAGGAGAGCAAGTGAAACATAGAACCTGCACCAATAGTCTCAGGGCCCAAACTGCAGAAACTTGTAGCTATTCATGATCCATTACAATAGACCTTCTTCATGGATCATTCTGGATCATGTGCTCAACAGTTGTTTCAAAGCACTCCCTCCCAAAATAAGCCAATTAAAAGCTAGAATTCAAGATCTTAAATCTGCAACTCTATTACAACTGACAGCTACTTTCCCCCAACTACAGGAGACCCAGAACTAGGGTCTCTGGTAGGTGCACCTCCCTTGACGGTAAAAGAAAGACCCGACTCCAAACCATATTGGTGTAAAAAGAATCAGAAGTGCTGCAGTTTCACCAAAACTGAACTTGGTAAAGGGATTCGTTTATTACTCAGACTGTGTCACAGGGGACAGAAGCAAAGCATTCTGTGTTGTCTCCCCCCCCCCCCAAAAAAAAAGACCCATCATTGTTTGCATTCAATGAAATTCCTTTCAAAATCAACTTTCCACATCTCAATTATATTCAACAACATTCTAGCTAACATTTCGGCTGCAATTCAAATTAACTAATGCCCCAAAGAGCCCCTAATCGACACGGTTCTGAGCTCAATTGAATACAATCAAAGCTCAGGAAATGAAGGGGGGAATGCTTATTTCATGCAAATTCTGAATATCGCTCAAGCTTAATTTTACTGATAATATAAAGGTGGGACATTTTGAACATTACAGAGAATGAAACCTTTAAGCGGTGAGAGTTATTTTATAAAATGCTACCTCTGAAAAGCTGATTGCCAAACAGTATAAAAACGGTTTGAGGCATAAATGCCAAGTTCATTTCTATTTCACTTCTGAGGTAACTATCTTTCAAATCGCAACAGCTGGACTATTTAACACAATCTGGTGAATCACAGTGTAGCGCTTCTCTGGTCTCCCAGTGGGACGTCTGCATTAGTCTGTGGCAGCCATCCAACAAATGACGTACAGCGGCCGGTCTGAACTCTGTTTCATTTACAATAAAAACGGATAAAACCACAGTCATATTTGCCACCTTCAAGGATGGAAAATGGAAAGATTTAAATCTGTCTTTATAAAGTAGTTTTCTGGGAAAACTCCAAAGAGGAAGTCAGTTTCTATTTCCCTAGTGTAAAAATGAATCTTGCTTCCCCCTTCAATCCCTGCAGTGAGCAGAGTGGTGAAGGGAACTGG